CGGAGACAGTGACATGAACCATGTGCACAGCGCGAGCGTTGGATGGGGAGGACGGAAAGAACCCTGTAGCGATACGAATGCCCGCTGTTTACCGAAGGAAGCCTTACATTTGAGTCTCAAGACTCGTTTGCTTTCGAAGGGAGGTCCTGCTACATTGAGGTATTTGACCAATTCCATTAATGAGCGTCTGGCTTTACGTGGGAGGAAACCGGAGTAGCTGGGGGAGAGTCACGCGCGCGAGCCGGGAACATTGTTCCAAGTTCCGCACAGATTGAAACATTCCACTCGCTGTGTGAGCATCTCCCCGGCCACCGCGCAGTGGAAGCCTCAGCGCTATCCCTCTGGTTCTAGATTGGAAGCTTTCGTGACTGCAAGGATTCATACTCTTAGGTTTTTTCGGTAAAGTCACGTAGGTAAAAAATAAAATTTAAATTAATTAAAGTAAAATAAAAAAATAAAAAATCACGACGTTTCGGAGGCAACACAAGCTTCCGTCTTCAGGTGGAACCGTCACAGCACGATTGCTGCATGAAGTCGTGATTTTTAATTTTTGTTATTTTACTTTTATTAATTTTAATTTTATTTTTTACCTACGTGACTTTACCGACAAAACCTAAGAGTTTGTATCCGTCTGGCTCCCAAGGAGTCGCGTGCTACCCAGGCGCCACCTTTGCTTACTTAGCTTTGGGTGCAGCTGGGATGGTTTGATCGTAAGGGTCGTGCAAAAACGTAATAATAGGTCGGGAACATTATGATTCATTGAGTCATAGATTAATAAGCTCGTTACGCGTGCATTTTAAGAATCGATTATTTCTGATTCGCGTTTATTGCATGTGGTTTATGGATACTGGCCGTGTGACGGTGCAGTCAGTTAGTAAAATATAATGAATCCCTTCGCTCACGATACTTTCAGCTGGTTGTGCTGTGAGAATCGATGATGTTCAATGCGTTTGTGGAGAATATAAATAACAAAATAAACGTTTTTTTACAAATCCCATCAGCCACACGACCATCTGGGAGCACTCATTCAGCAGATTTGGGTTCAACGTTTCAAACTCTGGACCGGTTGTTGTCATCCATTGTCTTATCGTCTGGGTCAGACTTGCTTGAACTAATTCTGCAGGTGAAGTGCCAGATGTTTATAGGCAAGGGCCCTCTCGATTAAACATTGGTCCTAGTTTGTTACGTAAATTTAACCGTGATCAATGATTCGAATCGGTAACTTTAGATTGTCGAAAGATCGGCGCTTGCTGAACAACCCTGCTCCTAGGGCCCAGTGTGCTGCTTGTGTTGGCCAGCCGAGCGGAGCTCGGGCACATCCAAGTGACCTCATTCTTTGTCCATAAACCTCGCAAGCACTGGGGACTCGTTTGAGTTCCTGCCGATCTGTGGGAGGAGGAGGAGGTAGGAGGAGGAGGAGATGTGGCCGTGGGGAGATGTGGGAATGAGGTGGGTGGGAGGAGAACTTCACGGCTTGCTTCCCCTTGCCGAGGGGCCCCTTGCTGGCAACGGTGGATTAAAGATTCCCAGTCGATGGGACGGCACTGCGCGGTGTCTCTTAGCTACGCACAGCCGGTCCGTCCCGACGACGAGGAGGTGGAGGAGGTGGAATACGTTCCGTGGTTCACACTCCGCGCACCGATGCGCGTGCGTGCGTGTCCTCCGTCAAAGGAACGATTCGCCGTCGCGAAAAATAGAAATGGGAATCGGCTGTGACGGCTGGCGCGTGGGGTTTGTGCGTGTGTGTAATGTTATTATTGTTAATAATATTTTAATGATAATTTTATAAAGCGCCTCCCACATTGAAATATCTCCAAACGCGCCGTAAGTAACTACGCACAAGTCTAGATACAATCCAATCGGAAATCATGTAAGAGCTCGTAACAATAGTCATAATACTGACAACTACACTCGCAATAGAGACAGACTGCAGACAAACTATGACAAAAGCTCGTAACAATGACTAGCAACCCAGTATTGGTAAAGTGCAATCAAACTACAGGAACAGCCAAAGAATAACAAAGAGGTTTTCACGCCAGAATTGGTGCCGCTCCAATTCGCACGGATGGCTCCGTGCGACGTGCAGGAAGTTCCACGTGGCCACACACGTCAACGTCACAATTGCCGACCACAGGTCCGGATTAGCGTTCGACGTTCCGCGAGGAGTCTGTGCAAGGAGTCACTCAAGGCTATGAAGTGTTCGACCGGCTGGGCGCTTGGCTCGCCACGCGCCCAGCCGCACGTCCAGCAAGGCGGGCGGCCCGCGTCCCCTGCCCGGCCGCTCTTTAATAGACGGGAGCAGACGAGGTGAGCGTGGGGACACGGTGACGGGCTGCCAAGGTCTACCCCCTCCTGCCCGCCACCCACCCACCCCCCCTCCATCTGTGCGCCTTGCAAAAGCAGAGCTGCTGCTGCTGCTGCGTCAGCATTTCAGTAGCGTCATCATTGTTGTTTTTGAACGGGGGGTGGGGGGGAATGCACGTGAGATGTTTTCACCCCACGAAATAAACAGCGCGACATTGTCCATAAACAGAGATGAATAGAGAGGCGTGTGGCTGGGGACAGCCTCCACCACCCCCCCCCCTTGCTCCCCAGCGTTGTTGAAGTCACGGCGTGCCGACTTTTTTCCCAGACGCCTGCCGCTCGCTCTCGAGCGCTGTGCTGCTTGGTCCTCGCTCACGCCGTCTCGAGCGCTGCGCTGTGGGGTCCTCACTCACTCACGCCGCTCGCAACTTTGATCGGCACCGTCAATCTCGCGTCCCTCTCCGCCCCACCCCTCCACCAAGCATAATTCTAGTCCTCGCTCCGTTCATACGGTATAAACAAAAATTACACATCACGGAAACAATTTCACTCTTCGCATTGTGTCGGGCCGTCCACTCGTTTTGCGCCAGCGTCATGGACCCCACGTTGGCGCTATCGTACGTGTCCTCAACTCCGGGTGGTATACTTAGCTGTAATTCACAGCCGCGGGTGGGTGAGGGCCCCCCCACGCTGTGTCGGTCGTGGGGGCCTTGGGGGGAGGGAGGTTTGTTTGTGCCATACTTCACCACGCTGGTCAATGCGGGTTGGTGAAGGTGACGGGGGTCTGCCATCGGTTGGGGGAGATCAGATCGCACTCGCCACTGATGTCGCCCCACCGTCAGGAATTCTGAATTCAAGTTGCCAAGTTCATAGCAGAAGTGCGCTAACCACTGTGCCACCACCCCCCCCCCCCAACAAAACACTTATGTAGGGTACATACATGTTTATTACGGAGCATATTTAAAACTCCACACGGGATATGGGTCCCAGACGGTACGATAATCGTTGATAAGATTTTAAGGTAAAAAAAAAGTTCATTAAATAGATTTGCTTTAATTGTACGTTTGTTTGTTTTATTGTGCTTTCTTAAAGATATGTAATGTTGTTGTTGTTGTAGCCCGGGTGGAAGAGGGGTGGTGGTGTGGTCCTTGCCCAATCCTGGCAGAGCCTGGCTCCAAAACTCAACAAGCAAAATAAACAAAGCGGCTCACGCGTTCACGTGAAGGGTGAATTCATCGCATCTCAGCGGTGTTTGTAGTTGCCATCGTGAGCCACTGTCGGGTACACGATGGATCTCCCACCACCTCAAGCTGTCTGGCCGCCTTGCCGTGCCTTAGCAGGGTCAACGTTCACCATTCGAGTGCTTGACACAGATTTCGAGAGCGTTGGTTTGCCACCGATCTGCGGATTTCACCGATTGACGTCCATAAATGACGTCACGCGATTTTGGACGATTTTTGACCCCCCCCCCCTCGTCACACGGCGTCACAAAAAGTCAGATCCCCCCTCAAATATGACGTCACAAAGCTCTGCCCCCCCCCAAAACCATATTTCCATTATGAAAATAAAACATGCTTCAAATCGCTTTAAATTATCGTCATTGTAGTGCGTATTTAATGTGGCGCTGCACTCTGATGTTGGAGGAGTGTTGTTATGACAATTATTGTTATAACAATTCTATATTTATTTAAAGTTGCGCATTTTGATGTGACGTCACATTTCTCAACCCCCCCCCCTCGTCAAACATCGTCACAAATGTCTGACCCCCCATCCCTAAGTGCGTGACTTCATTTATGGACGGCCCCAAATGCATTATCGGTGTTCGTCACGCGATAAAGATCGCCACGAGCGAATGCAATTAATCACAACAGAAGAGGCATTTAATAGGCAGGCAATAGGCTGGCGATGCCGAACAGGCCAGCGGGGTGAGTTGATCATCAGAATGGGCAAAAAGTTGTACGTGCTCGAATACGGCCCACCTGACGAAGGACTAGATTTGAAGCTTTCGTGTCTGCAAGGATTCATATGCTTGGGTTTTTTCGGTAAAGTCACATAGGTAAACAAGTTTAAATTAAAATTAATAAAAGTTAAATAAAATAAGAATCACAGCACGCTCGCTGTATTACTTGATACAGCTATCGTGCTGTGACGGTTCCACCTGAAGACGGAGGCTTGTGTTGCCTCCGAAACGTCGTGATTTTTATTTCATTTTTATTTCACTTTTATTAATTTTAATTAAAAAATTTACCTACGTGACTTTACCGAAAAAACCCAAAAATATGACGAAGGACTCTTTGAGTTTGACCGCAGCGTTGTGGGTGGAGGGGCCAAAATGTGTGACCTCGAAGGCGTGGGGGTCACCGTGCATTGTGGTCCGTCGGGCGGCGTGAGCGGCGGAGCGGTTCACTGACGAGGCCTTGCACAATGGCATGTCGGATGCGTTCAAGTTGACGATGCACACGCGCATTGAATGGCGCGCGCGCGATGGACCAATTATTTTTAATTCCCGCAGACTGTATGCAAGCGATGTGCTCATGTTACGTTTGTGTTGATGGAGCGTAAAAACCCGGGCGTGAGAGAGATGGACGAGAGAGGAAAATGAACCGAGTCTTGAATTTGAATCGCCACGCCGATGGGGTATGGGCGCTCTCTAACGGGATTTTTTCTCCCCCCCGCGCGTGTGTGTGCGCTTGCAGATGACGTGGGCGAAGGGGAAGAGATGCAAACCTATCCCTGGAAACACCTGGGTGAGTGGACTTACCGCAGAGCGTTTATACTGAATCGGCGGCATAGCCATCGAGTGTGCAGGCGGTGCGACTGCACGGGGCACCACGAAGATGGGGGGGGGGGGAGGAAGTAGGGGGGTAATTGGGCAGGGGGCCCCGCTTATAAAAACTATTACAACTAATTTTACTTTACCAGGTAAGGCCCACTGAGCTATATAGCTCTTTTTTAGAAGCGACCTGGCCACAAATGATAGCTCAACGAAGTTGGAGGGAAAAACCGGAAGACCCGGATAAAAATCCACACGACAACGGGGAGACGGAACTTGCAAACTCCAAATATACAGCAGCAGGTGTCAGGGTCGGGATTGGACCCACGACCTCCTGCACACCAGGCAAGGGGCTTCACATTTCGCTACCGTGCTGAGATGTTAACTACCTCGCCAATTCGCAACCATTCACTCACTCACGCTCTCTCACCACACTCTCCCGCTCACACTCGCTCGCCACGCTCTCCCGCTCACACTCGCTCACCACACTCTCCCACTCACACTCGCTCACCACACTCTCCCACTCACACTTGCTAACCACACTCTCCCACTCACACTCGCTCACCACACTCTCCTCTCTCAGATGCTGCTGCAGAGACGCGAGCCTCGGGCTGCCCTGGCTGCCGATCTCAGAAGTTGCTGCGAGCCTCCATCTCCGCCCTCTACCCGGTGGCCGCTGCACTGGCGGTGGCCGTCGCCGCCCTCGCCTGTATCGGTACGGGCGGCGCCGATGCCACGCTCCACCATCCGCTGCTGTGCATGAAGGCCGCCCCACGTCCCCGCTGACGACGCCTCGCGCTCTCGCGGTGCCATAACCTCGCTCGCCGCTGACCTCGTCGGGGGCGGACAGTGAACGCGCAACTTTGGGCAAACTTTGCCACGTGTTTGGAACCGTTGGGCCAAGTTGGCTCAATGTTCCATGTTTGTTGGGGTGGTGGGTGGTGGGGGGGGGGGGGGGGCTGGGGAGGGGGAGTGACCCAGGGCCAGTTCTGGTATCACTCGCGACCGATATTCTGTAACGATGGAAGAGAAAACAGCGGTGGAAATGGCCGAGGATTCATCTCTCTCTCTGTCGAGTGGGGGGCGTGGGGGGTCTCGGAGTATCGTGCGTCGAGAGTAACTCCGAGCCACTGGGAGCCTTTAGCCAAACTTGGTGGAATGTAGCCATAAAACATTGGCGCAGATACCCCCTCCATAGGCTGAGGCTGACAAATGAAATATTTTTGTGTTTGTTTAATAATCTGTGTGGGGAGCACGTGGGTGTGTTTTACGTTCACCGTTGAACTTGCGCGTTTTTGCGCTTCCACGTCTGCGGCGCGTTCACCAAACCACCGCGCACCTCGCCAGCGTGGTGAACTGCGGTCAAATAAGCGCCCCCATCCCATGACCCCGCCACTCGCCGTCGGTAGGGGGCCGTCTCCCAGCAATGCATCGACAAATGGCCGTACGTTGCGCACAAAGACAAAAATCCCCCGTATTGCCTTACCAGAATTTAGGGGCAAGTGCTGTTAGCGAGCACCTTTAAAGGCCGGCACGGCAAACGAGGGAGTGGGTGGTCAGCACCATGCCCGGCCGCCTTTGTCTCCCTAGTGGCGATGTCTACTACACACCGCACCAGGTACTCATTTTAGGCTGAGCCGATCTAGGGGAGGCCCAGGACCGGTTCAGATAATCGTCACCGGTGTTGGCTGTAAGCAGGAATCGAACCCGGGTCGCCAGATTCGTAGCGCAGCGCGCTAACCACTGCACCACCGCTCGCGCGCGTGTGTGTACGTAGTTTGCCTTAATATTTTAACGGTGTTTACGTTAAGATTTTAATCATTTAATCATAAGCGGCTAGGAAGCATTACGCGAGGTTTATATAGATATATAGAACAACAAAAATGCAGTGAGTGGAGGTGAACTAAGTGGCGAGGACTGAGACGAAATGAATATGCGCTTAGCTCGGACCTGATAATCGGGTCAGGGGACAGTCAATGATGTTGGAGCGGTTGAGTATTCCAGCGATGCGGTTAGCGATAGGGAGGGGATCAGGGATGCGTCCTGAACCATCTCCTCTGATAGCTGTAATCATAACAGAGCGGCCCGCTGTACCGGTGGGGGTAGCCCCCCACCCCTCCCCTGGGGGTTTATGTCCTGGGGTTTATTTACTTTCATCTCTGATAACCTCTTCTGCTGTTGCACACACGTCTCATTTACAGTGCTCCTCTCTCTTAACAACCCCCCTCGCCCTCCACAGAGACGAATATGTAAGAGAGTTTAAAAAAGTCGGTGAGACATCTGTTTTTAATTTGGCAAGAGAATCTCTCATCGCCGATTCTCACACAGGCGCAGAGGTCCATCTCTCGGCGCGTCGGCACCTCCACCCAGCTCGTGGATACGGAGCCAGAGAGAGCGCCGCCCGAGGCTGCAGCGGTGTTCACGTCAATACTAATAACACTAACCATCGTCTCGAGTCGTACAGGGCGTGTGTTTCTACTGTTGGGAACCATTCTAGGGCAGCGGTCCACAACCTGTTTGGCACCAGGGACCCGTTTCGTGGAAGACAATTTTTTCACGGACCGGGGGGAGGGGGGGGGTCATCATTGGGTCTTTCCCCCGTTTCAAAGAAGCTCTCCAGCGACGTTTGTTTTTTACTCATTGTGGCTACTAGGGGTTAGCAGCTTGTGGGCTTACCAACACCTTGACTGAGATAAGTGTGCAGTGCGGGAAAGAGGCGCGGATGGAAGTGGTGAATAATAAAATAATGGGGGGGGGGGCACGCGGACTCACCGCTCACCACTATGCGGTGTGTAGAGTGTGTACACACGCGGACTCACCGCTCTCACCTCCTGCTGCTGTGCGGCCCGGTTCCTAACAGGCCGCGGACCGCTACCGGTCCGCGGCCTGTTAGGAACCGGGGCTGGGGACCCCCCTGGTTTACGGCATCCCGGGGGGTGATAGGTGAGTGGAGTTCCCTAGTACAGGCGTCCTTAAGAGGATTATTGCACAATTAACCAACGAGCTATTTGATGGTTGTGATCGAAAGAGCAGCGCAAGTAGAATGTGTGACGGCAAGCGGCACCGGAAAAAAAGGTTCGGTACAGGCACAGGTCATCCGTACGCGACGAAAACACGTGCGACTCGAAAAGGACGGAGCAAAAGGCGTGGCAGCAGAGAGGCTCAAGGAAGAAGTCAGTTAGAGATGCAAGTACTCATTTAATACTATTGGTTCTTTCGGTAAAGTTACGTAGAAGGGAGATAATACAAGAATAAAAATATAAAACAATAAAAATTCTCACGACGTTTCGACTGCAACACAAGCAATCATCATCAGGTGTGAAATCCACAGCAAGATTTTTTTTTATTCACTTTTTTCAAATTTTCTTGCTGTGGATTTCACTTTTTTCTAATTTTCTTGCCGTGGATTTCACACCTGATGATGATTGCTTGTGTTGCAGTCGAAACGTCGTGAGAATTTTTTTTGTTTTATATTTATATTATGTTATTATCTCCCTTCTACGTGACTTTACCGAAAGAACCAAGACTATGAATCCATGCAGCCAGGAAAGCTTTAAATCAAAATTTTATAATTTAATACTTTAATAATAATAAGTTACACTTAGAGCGTTTCAACCAGAGGTCACACGGCGCTGCACAGAGCTAAAATCAAGCAAATAAATAACAATTATAAAACCTAATATAAGCACGCACGCTCACGATTTAACCACGGGTACAAATACCCCCCCTCCCCCACACACTCCCAAAGCACAGAACCAAATGAATCAGGAGAAACGGCCTTTTAGTAAAAAAAATGTCTTATGGCGGGATTTCAATAAACCGAGGAACTCAGCAGATCGAATATTCAATGGAAGGTAATTCCACAGCTTGGGGGCGGGGGAGCTCTGGAAAAGGCCAGGCGGGTCACCCATTGAACGGAAGTCAGCTCCGTGTTCTTTGGTTTAACTTTGCGAACGCCGAGATTCGAAGGATGCCTTTAAGCTGCGAGCTTCGGGCAATAACACTGAACCCCTCTGCGTGTCGTAAAGGCGTCTTAGTCTGGCTGCGGGCATTTCCCTCCCCCCCCCCACAAAAAGTTTGCTTTGCATAATGAGACCTCCTTTGCCAGTAGCAAAATATAATAATGGGGTTTTTATCCTTTTATCTGACACAAAACTGACACCCGTACAAAGGTGACAGTTTTGTGCCAGATAAAAGGGTAATTAAACCTATTATTAATAAAGTTTGCTTTGGCCCGTTAATGTTAAAGGTAAATTATCCACGGTTAGGGGCCGTCCATAAATGACGTCACGAACCTGGGGGGGGGGGGGAGGGTCAGACATTAGTGACGATGTGTGACGAGGGAGGGGGGGAGTTTGAGAAATGTGACGTCGCATCAAAATGCGCAATTTTAAATAAATGTAGACAACATGTTCGACTTAATTAAATAGAATTTTTAATAAATGTTTTCTCCTACAACATCAGAGTGCAGCGCCACATTAAATACGCACTACTATGACAATAGTTTAAAGCGATTTGAAGCATGTTTTTTTGGGGGGGGGGGGGGGGCAGAGCTTTGTGACGTCATATTTGAGGGGGGTTTGACTTTTTGTGACGCCGTGTGACGAGGGGGGGGGTCAAAAATCGTCGAAAATCACGTGACGTCATTTATGGACGGCCCCTTACGGATAAACGTGGCTTTGATTGGTGGAACGAGTCCAACGGTTTGACGCGCCCGGGATAATGAAGACGCATGCAGCACGTGCATGGAATGCGTCGGTTTGGTTTGAGTTCGTTTGACTTTGCGGTGTTTTAAAAAAAAACGTTTCTTTCCTCGTCAGGCAAAGAGAATTGAAAAAAACCGTACGGAACATTTTGCCTGTATCGTAGTCCTAATTGGTTGATGGTTTTGTTGTTTTGATGTAAAGCTTTCGTGACTGCAGGGATTCATATTCGTGGTTCTTTCGGTAAAGTCACGTAGAAGGGAAAGAAAAAAATAAAAAACCATAAAACAATAAAATTATCACGACATTTCGACTGCAACACAAGCAATCATCATCAGGTGTGATGCTCATCATCAGATTTGATGATTGCTTGTGTTGCAGTCGAAACGTCGTGAGAATGTTATTGTTTTGTATTTTTATTATTTTATTGTTTCCCTTCTGCGTGACTTTACCGAAAGAACCAAGAATGTATAGGTTTTGTTGTTGTTGCTGCAAAAAGTAGAAAAAAGCCACTTTATCATATCAGCAATGAGCGATATGTCGCAAAAGGCCTGTGTTGTTGCAGTAATTGACCTCCCGTGTGGTGACTAGTCTTGTCGACGTCCTCATGTACACAGAGAATGTATAAAACATAAATATATATACTAGCTTTACTACAGGATTCTTGTCCTGGATTAATACACGTTCTACGCGGAGGGTGTGGGGGGGTGCGTGACGTCAGCAGGCACACTGCGTGACGCTGCCGCATGCGGGTGACATCACAGATGTGACGTCACCGATCACTTGCCGTGCAAAATATATCCATTATTGCGCCCTCGCCCCCCCCAAATACAAAAGCCTATTTTTATACTTTTTGCATTGTGTACAGACTGGAAGCTACCCACATGCTAAATTTCAAGTTTGTTGCATGTCGGGAAGTATGCTAAACATTTCGAACAGACACACATAATCACAAATTTTCCCTTAAATATATATAGATGTACCACTGCTATATGTCCAATGTTGTGATGTCGTGACTTGTGTTGCGTGTAAACGTTTCCGACACTGGGAGACAAAGGAGGCCGGGCGTGGCGCTGGCCAGGCATCACCATGTCACGCGACACAGTGCTTCGACTCGCAAGCAGCACTTGCCCCAACAGCCTGCGGAAGGAGGCTACATGGGGCACTTTTGTCTTTGCGCGTGGGTTGCAGTGCTGCGCAGGGCGGACGGCGCCGCCACCGTCTTGCAGGCGGCGCGGGATGAGTCGAGGGGGCAGGCTGGAGGGAGTGGAGCTGAGCCTCGGTCAACTCGGAGCAGGTGAAGCGCTGTCCCCTCGTGGCGTTCTAGGATTTGAAGCTTTCGTGACTGCAAGGATTCGTACTCTTAGTTCTTTCGGTAAAGTCACGTAGGTAAAAAATGAAATTAAAATTATGAAAATAAAATAAAAATCGCGACGTTTCGGAGGCAACACAAGTCTCCGTCATCAGGTAGGGACCGTCACAGCCAGATTTGCGTGCCAAAGCGCCGAGAAGCTGCCCCTTGATGATCGCTCGCACCCCCCCCCAACTCCCCTGTGCGTCGCTTTCAGACGCGCTAGCGCAGAGCGACGTTCCCCACGGTGTGTGAGCGCACGTTCTGAGCAGCGCGCAACGTGTGCGGACGGAGCAAACCGTCGGCAGTTCCCGAAGAAATGCGTTGTGTCTTCTTGGTTCTTTCGGTAAAGTAATAAATAAAACATAATAAAATACGATTCTCACTGAGAATTGTATTTTATTATGTTGTATTTTTATTCTCACTGAGAATTGTATTTTATTATGTTTTATTTTTATTATTTTTTTATTTCCCTTCCACGTGACTTTACCGAAAGAACCAAGAAGACGAATCCCTGCAGTCACGAAAGCTTTAAATCGAAATGCATTGCGGCCCTCTTGTTGGAGGTCACCATCGAAGTGCGTTTTGAGTGAGATGTGACCCGGCTGACAGCGGCAGCAGCATCAGCATTGCACAGACAGACAACCGGGGCACCGGCTTAGTCATTATTAGGACTCGTCAATGCGGCGTAGACGCCAATGTTCGCTCCTGAAAAGTCTGCTTCTGGGAACCACGCATGGATGCGGCAATACTCCCCGCTTAAGTAGCCGCTCGCCGTTGGTTTAGCCGCTCGCCGATGCCATTGGTGAAGGCAGAATGCCACGACCACGACGCCAGGTCCCGTGGCTCCACCAGCGCGTTGGGAGGCGAGGTTTTGGTGGGGCTCACACCGAGGGTTTGTCAAACCCGTGCACCCCTGCCAGGGTGCGTTAAAATCGCTAGAACGCTCGGCAACATTCGCATTGACACGACAGACAGTTATTTTCTTCGACAGCGGGCTGCCGGATTAACACCTCGAGACAACGCGAGTGCAAGATGTGTTCACGATGTTAAGAATGTGGAGCAGCGTCACCAGTCGTTCACGTAAATTGCTTCTCTCGCAATCGCCGAGGGACCACGGACGCAGCCGGGCGGTGCGATCTCACTCCCCCCCCCCCCCGTTCTCCGGTTTCTTCCTAGAGCTAAAAGCCCGCGGTGCGATTGGCGATGGCACAAACGTCCCAATGTAGCAGGACCCTCTGGAATAATCATAATAATACTTTAATTTTATATAGCAGCGTCATTCAGGCCAACAGCATCCCACAACGCCGTGCAGTAATGATACATTAGGAGCAAAATCCCATTTAAGCGGTTGGCTACGTACGGTGGGAAAGACGGCCAACACACACGCATACACACACCGAGCATATGAAAACCCTACGACTGCCCAGCACCGAAACAAAAAGCACACAGACAACAAAAGAAGAACCGAGTCAATAAGGCGACAACAAGGGAAGAGTCTATATCGTTACTCAGTGTTGCTACCCCGAGTAAAAATATAACATCTATAAATTATCATATAGAAGGGAAATAATAAAATAATACCAATAAAACATAATAAAATACAATTCTCACGACGTTTCGGCCACAACGCAAGCAGCCGTCCTCAGGTGAAGAACAGGGCTGTCGAGGAGACAGAGTCTGAATGAGAGAGTCGACAGACCTGTTCCTCACCTGAGGACGGCTGCTTGCGTTGTGGCCGAAACATCGTGATAATTATTTAATGTTTTATTTTTATTATTTTATTATTTCCCTTCTACGTGACTTTACCAAAAGAACCAAGAAGACGAATCCCTGCCAGTCACGAAAGTTTTAAATCGAAATTTTAATCATCACAATTCATATTCGTGAGCACGATGTGATTCATTTCTCACGCGACGTCGTGTCCCCCCCCCCCCCCCCCCCCGGCCTGCCCCCAGGCTGGGACACGGGGGCAGAGATCTCGGACGTGCGTGCCCAGCTGGGCGTCGTGGCGCGCCACCTGCGCCGCTACAAGCTGGCGGCGAGGGAGCGCGCCGAGCAGCACGACAGCTTGGACCGTCTGGTGAAGCTGAGCACCGCGCTCGCCTCCTCGGTGTACGACGCCAGCGCCTCGGTGCGGGTGCTGCACGCCGCCGCGCTCCGCGCCGCCGTCAACGCCTCGCGGACCGACCCCACGCTCACGCAAAGTACGATTGCGCCGCGCGGTGCCGGCTCGCGGAGAGATGTTGATTGCCTCGCCTGGTACGCAGGAGGCCGTGGGTTAGATCCCGACCCCCTGACGCCTCCTGTATATTTGGAGTTTGTGGTGTCTCTCCCTCTGTCTCTCTCTATCCCTGCGCTCGTGTGGATTTTTCTCCGGGTCCTCCAGATTTTCCCTCCCCATTTCAAGAGAGGACCGTGTGGTGAGCGAGTGTGTGCAAGATTAGTGGTGAGATGGCGAGATAGTTAGCAACTCGCCACCGTGGCGAGATGTTAACTACTTCGTCTGGTGTGTAAGAAGTCGTCGGTTAGATCCCGACCCTGACGCCTGCTGCAACATTTGGAGTTTGCGTGTTCTCCCAGTGGACGCATGGATTTTTGTTGTTGTTGTCTACGCACGGTGCGAAAGAAGTTCAACATACATATATATGTTGCTCCACATCTAGAATAAACACGCGCTGCCTGCTATACATTTCCACACGATAAGCCACTTCCTTGACCTGTCATTTGTGACCAGGTCACTTCTGAAAAAGAGCGATATAGCAGCTCGGTGGGGCCTTCTTACCTGGTAAAAATTAACATAGTTGAAAGTTTAGTTCCACCACCATCGCTCGCGTTCTGCTGGATCTGGCTTAGATTCTAGGATGGCGAGAGCAGCAGCAGCAACAACAGCAGCAGCAACAACAGCAGCAGCAACAACAGCAACAACAGCCGGAGCGTGAACCCAGAAAGTGGGATCGGCTCTCGAGTCGGCGGGCGCGGTGACATCGTTGTGACCCTTTGACCCCCGGAGCGGCGGTTTCCAAGACGGCCACGGACCTTGTCGCGACGCGCCTCGCTCCCCCCTTCCTGTGTCTGCCCCGTGGGCCGTGAGGGGTGGAGGTGTCGCTGCGCAGCGCCGTGCGGGAGGAGCTCGAGCCGGCGGTGGACGAGGAGGCGCGGGGAGCGCGCGCCCTGGAGGCGCGGCTGGCGCTGTGGCTGGCCGGCCCGCGCGCCTTCCTCGCCGAGACGCTGCAGCGCGGCGAGCACCGGGCCACGACGCTGGACCTGGCGCTGGACGCGACGCTGCAGCACGCGGAGCGCTTCGGCGGGGAGGAGGGGGAGCGGCTGCTGCGCGAGGAGATCGACCAGCTGGGCCGAGCCGCCGCGCAGGTCGTGAGAGCGAGCGAGCGCGTGAAGGAGCGGGCGATTTACACCTCCCCTGCCCCCCCACTTCGCCCCCCACAATATTGTCAGATCAGCCTTTCGTCTCCCGTAACGTGGCTAAATTATCGCAGTCTGCGTTTTTTTTTCTCCCTCATGGATCGGCCGACAACACCTTTGTACATAGAGGACCACAGAGTTTTGTGGGGGAATCTGGCACCCGCTCGTCTGTGGTTCCTCTTGGCGACTCCGAGTCATCCCCTCTCTCTCTACGAGAGCGAGCGAATTGCTGCCCGGTGAAGCTTTGCAAATTTAATGTTTTTATTTTATTAATATTATTATCATCATTCAAAATAGTTTCTTCCACCTCGTCGTAGCCGCTCACGCTGAGGTCTCTGGCGGAGAGTCGTGTTCATCTTCACGATTCAAGATCCTTCCTCCACTAGCAAACCAAAAAAGAATACACGCAAAATTAACGCCGGCCGTAGAGCAATACGTGCAACGGTCCGGGCCCTCGATTGAACGTATGTCTGTCTGTACACCATGTTGAACTTCTTTCGCACCGTAATGCAACCAACCATGCTTATCAGAGGTGCTGGGGAAGGACAATCAACTAAACACAAAGGCCATGCCGGTGGTGCCCGAACGTTCGATGTTCACTCGGCAGGCGCGTACGTAGAAGGTCGGGTTTGGCCGCGGTGGCCATTACGGTCCTTTGCCTAGAGGCCCATCCCAGGGGTCGGCAACCAAAATAACAAGAAGAGACATTTTTGTCGAATTCGATAAAAATGTACGTTGCGAATGGACGTCGTGTGTGCGAGGTGAACGTTGTTTGAGTTGAACGTCGTGTGAACGGACGTCGTCTGAACGTACGTTGTGCCAATTCACCGCCGCGTTTTCCCGCGGCGGTGAAACGCGGCCGGTGGCGCTGCAGGCGTCGGCGAGCGCCAGGGAGCACATCGCCGAGCTCCAAGCGGCCGCGGCCGAGATGCTGGAGCTGACGGAGCGAGCGGTCAACTTGTCGGCGGCCGTGAGCGCACAGGACGATGCGCTGCAGGTGAGGCTCGTGACCTACGTGCCAGGGGAGTCGATCGGTACGCTCGCCATACTTGCAATGGATCGACCATTTGCGGGTTCGCGGTGCGGTGCGATCGGTGGCTGTGGTGGGATCGTGCGTGCGGTCGGAGGGGGTGGCCTAAAGCAACGGTCACGAATGATTCTCATTGTGCTTGTGCTGAATCCATGTGTTCAGTTTACCAGGTAAGGCCCACGGAGCGACCTGGCCACAAATGATAGCTCAACCAAGTGGCTTATCATATGGAGATTCATAGCAGCCAAATACTCTAAACGCATGTTTCTAAATGTGGAGGGAAAAGCCGGAGGACCCGGAGAAAAATCCACGCGACCACGGGGAGAACGTGCAAACTCCAAATATACAGGCGTCAGCGTTAGGACAGAAACCACGACCTCCTGCATAGCAGGCGAGGGAGTTAACATCTTGCCACCACGGCCACCACGGCAAAATGTTAAAGGGAGGGTAACACGGCGTCGCGCATATAAACGTCTCTTTTGGAAAGATCCCTAAAAATAGAATAAAAAAACAGGAAAATCCTACATCCAAATCGCAATGATTGGGCATCGCATTCTCAAAGCTCAGTGACTTAAGGTAACCCTGACTTGTGCTCAGCTGGTCTCTGAGGGGGTGCCCTGAAAATTGTTGGTAGTCCAAGTAAATTTGAATAAATATAGATGTTTTTTTTTCCCACGCTGCACAGACGCGTGCTGTGCCAGGCAGTCCCAGTTAGGGAAAGTGCTCTACTGAGGCATCGAGTTAGTTGCCAACTGTGAGGTGGAATAACCAGGACATATCGTGGGAGAAGTAGACCTCACAATACCAGAAGTGGCGAGTTCTACACGTGAATACATCGTCCTGAGTTGTGTGTAATTATTTCCATAATACTGGTAGGAACCTCCTGGTTCCACCAGTCCACAGGGGTTTATTGTGTCCGTCCATCGTGCAGGGAGGGGCTGGGTGGGGAGGGGCTGGGTGGGGAGGGTGGGGCTGGGTGGGGGGTGGGAGGGGTGGGGCTGGGTGGAGAGGGGCTGGTCACCCCGTGGTGCCCTTATAAAACTCAACGTTTAACCTACTGACGCCGGCTTGTGCCCGCCCTCACAGTCGGGCATTTTTGCGGAATACACCACGCCGCCTTTGACCCTGGCCATTGACCGAGCAACCCAACATTCCTACCAGCTCCCTCCGCAGGAATGTGTTTACGTAATTAACAAAAACCGGGAAAACACAAACAGATATCCCAGGATGATGGCCACCTCAACAAGAGGACGATCCTGAGAAAACCAGGATGGGTGGAAACCCTCGTGTTATGCCTGAGCAGCCTGTGAATTTCAAGGTCATGTTGGCGAGATGTTAATTACCTCGCCTCGTATACAGGAGGTTGTGGGATCGATTCTGACCATGACGCCTGTTGTATATTTGGAGTTTGCGTGTCTTTCTCCCCGTGGTGGCGTGGAATTTTCTCTGGGTCCTCCGGTTTTTCCCTCCACATTTAGAATCAACATCGCGCGTTCAGAATATCTGGCTGCTATAAATGTCCACGTGACGATGAGCCGCTTCGTCGAGCTCTCATTTATGGCCACGTCACTTGTGAAAAATAACTATATCGCAGCTCAATGGGCCTTACCTGGTAAAAATGAAAAAATAGGCTTTTAATAGGTTTACATTCCCCGTGTGCGCAGGACTTGGCAGAGCAGCTACGCTACGTGGAGAAGCAGATGGAGGTGAAGACGGAGAGCGTCCACTCGCGTCTTGAGATTCAGGACTTGGAGGTGAGTGAGGCCAACCACCGAGCTGGGGACGCGGCAAAGCCTCTCGCCTGGGTTGTCGGCAACCTGCGGCTCCGGATCCGCATGCGGCGGATCGTTAAGGAACTGCTCCATCGTGCTATTCACGTGCATCGCGGCCCTTTAAATTTTTTCTACCGAATTCGAAATTTTTTTTATCTACTTGTTATTTCGGTTGCCGATTCCAGTCTCATCGGTCCACCCGCCCCACCGCCGGCGACGTGGTGAATCGTTCAGATTTGGGCTCGCGATTCCAGCAAAAAATAATCGTGTAATTTCCTTTGTCTCGCTTGTATTGTCTCTCTTACTTGTACTGTCCGTCTGGAGGTTGCGGCAATCGCACGCTCGCTGCATGAAGGGAATAGAGGAGCTGCGTGAACTTCGCAGTAAAATTGGATTCGGTTTGCACCGAGTGGGCAACTCCACTCGATCCCGTAAATCGTATCGTGCGAATGAAATGCGTGTCATATGTACGTTGAACTTCTTTCGCACCGTACGTAGCCAACCTTGCTAATCAGAGGTGCAGAGAAAGGACACATATACAAACATATACACGATAAATACAATTAATGTTCAGGTGTAATTGTCAGGCTGCTTGCCCTCGTCCGCGATTCCATTACCGCGGAACTGACCGTGCACGGGCGAATGTTATTCAAAGGCAACGCGCGGAGGTAACGCTACCGCCCCCCGTCTTTCTCTCTTTCCCTCCCCCTCCAAACGCGCGCACGCGCACGCCAGGTGCAGAACGTGCGCATCAGCATGAACGGCACAGAGCAGCACCTCGCCAGCCTGGCCCTGTACCTGAGCGAGGTGGTGAGCGGCGCGTCCGAACCATCGGGCGTCACATGGGCCGACATGGCGCGCATCTCCCACGCCGCCACCCTGGTGGGCTTCAACCTGCGGGTGATGCGGGCGCGCCAGATCTTGCTGTCCGACCGGCTGCACACGGAGGCGTCCAATTTGTCGGCGGCGATGAGTGAGCTGAGGCTGCTGGACCAGGACAAGGAGGTCATCGCGCACGGCATCACGGTCACCGTGCAAGGTCAGAGGTCGGCGCATCGCGAGCGCTTTCGGATGCGCTTCTGCAGCCGTCTGGAATGCTCTTCCTGCCGGTATTAGGAATCCACTGGAGCTACGCACTTTTGCATCATCTCAATTGATAAACTCACTTCTTGAGAAGTGAGTTTTGTGTTTAGCTCCTTGTCCTTCCCCCTCACAGTTGGCTACATACGGTGTGAAAGAAGCTCTACATACACAGGTCGTTCCATCGATCTTAAATTCTAGAACAAGAAAAAAAAATGCCGCCTTTCCCATGTTTTGTCTTTCGACGTGTAAGTCTAAGTTTTTTCATTACATATCTGCTGTACATTAGACTCGTTAGATGATCATATTAGATTATAACAATAGTACCAGATTAGTCTCGCACACAACTGTCCGCACACACCGTCTGTACGTAGACATAACGTGGATACGACTGTAATTGTGGGCGTGCATGTCTCCTCTCTCTCTCTCTCCACCAAGGCTTGCCAGGGCCCCATGGCAAGGTTGGGGACACGGGCCCCTCGGGGGCATTGGGCCACCAGGGCCAGAAGGGCGACGTCGGAGACCTGGGCGCCGCAGGACGCCCCGGGCAGAAAGGCGTCTCGGGATTGCCTGGCCACGAGGGGGTGCAGGGCCTGACAGGCCCGAGAGGAACCCCCGGCAAAAGGGGCGAGAAGGGGGACCCGGGAATTGTCGGCTTCGTGGGGCCCGAGGGAGCCAAGGGGCTCAAGGGAGAGGAGGGTCTCTTTGGCGATCCGGGCCCACCCGGCCCGGCCGGCATTCACGGCCCCGAGGGTCCCCCGGGCTTTGTCGGGCCGCCGGGCCCCGCGGGAGAGATGGGAATGCTCGGCCAGAAGGGCGACGTGGGCCCTCCCGGCATAGCCGGCCCTCTCGGTGCGCCGGGCTGGCCTGGCCCGCCCGGCGACCCGGGACCCTCCGAGCCGGAATTTGAAGACGCGTCGGAAACCGCCGAGGACGCGTGGGATGGCACCGACTCTCCGCCAGGGACAGTTGGCCCCGATTTGCCGGCAACGACGGCGACGGGGGCACGGGCCTACGATCAGAGCCCGTCTGGCGGCGAGGAGGCGTCTGCTCCGACGCCGGAACCGCTCGCGACCCCGCCGGATCCGCTCGCGACCCCGCCGGATCCGCTCGCGACCCCGCCGGAGGAGGCCTCGATGGTCGGCGATACGCCCTAGCGGCGCCACCCACCCACGGTCCGCATCGCCGCATTTGGCGTTTTTTTCCGTACGAACGGCGCATTCGCCCGATGATCGGCAAACACGTCCGCTGTGTGACGTAGGGAGTGCCGCTTTGCATTAGAACCGAGACGTTGCTGTGCGCGTGAATGCGCGTGCCGCATGCGTGTGTACCGCACGCGTGTGTACCCAACGTGAGCTGGAGAGCTCTCGTGTGCGTGTGTGTGCGTGCGCGCAAGCCGTTCGCTACGAAGTGACGTGTTTTGCCACCGTGGCGCTTGTGCCAGGCTGAGTGCGGTTCGAGGAAGTCGCGCGACGTGTCGAAAGCTCCCTGGGACAGGAGGTCACGGAGAGAGACCCAAGCGTTGTGGGTCAACTTCCCGGGATGACCGACGGCTGGATGGCACCACCTGTGGTCGCCACTGTTACGCTTCGCGCGGAAAGCTCGCGTGCATGCGCGCGAGGTCCTATGTGGCGTGGGATGTGTTGCCAACCGTCGTAACGACTTACTTTCAACACGGCCGATTGGCAAATGTGATGAGGTTTATAATCGAGGTTTTTTGGGTTAGAACGCGCAAATATATAAATGTGTCATTAAACCCGCCACCACCCTACACAGCCAATTACCAATTCGATACTAGTACACCACACCGGTGTGTTGGAGAGCCAAGCCACAACATTTACAATCTGAGTACGATGCATTTATATATTTACGCGATCTAACCTGCATTGTGGAGGATAATGTTCGCGGAAGCCTCCTGCGTGTGAAAGTGGTAAGGTTTTTAGTTGGTGGGTCACCGACATTGGCAATCGGCGAAAACCTTCCCGAGAGGAGGACAGCACGCATGCCGATTTGTCCATTTGTTCCTGACGTGTCGAGCCATTTAGATTTTTGTTTATCTTTTGGAGACGAATTCTGTGGCGCACACCCGTTCCTGACACAGGCCGGGCTTAGAATAAGACAATGAATGATTATTCGTGCGACCGTGCAGATATTTTTTGACCCTATGTACACACGTTTCTCAATAGCTTAGTTATTTACGTATTACAAAAAAAATTATATAAGTTATATACATGAAAATGATATACGTGTGTGTATATTTATGAGATGTTATCCTTCAGAGTGCGGTTCGCGTGCACTTTATTTGCGGTCACTTTGGCAGCTGCCGCCCCTCTCAATTGCTCCCCGCTCGGGAAATCGGTGTGCGCTTCGATAATTATCACGGCTCATATCAGTTCCTAGGATCAAGATGTACATGTATATAATAATAATGATAATAAACACAATTTATAATGCACACATACTTCGCGCATCGGAGGCAGTGTTCGATCGAGAATTGGAATGGCGCGGAACCAGAGCTCAAATCCTCTCGTACGCCAGGATGAACAGGCGAGGGCCTGGGCAGGCCAGGACCTTGGCAGGCGAAGGCCTTGAGCTGCTGCTTGAAGGTGGACGATTGGATGATGCTGCTGCTGCGTGCGTGTGTGTGTGCAGTGGGTCAGAGTTCAAGATTGCTGTCGGTGCAGCTACGGTGAAACGCGGCTAAGCCAGTTTTCTGGGCACGATGAGCAGATCGTTAGATCCGCTCTGTAGGACGCGGTCCTTTGCTGTGGTCAGTTGAGTGACAAGGTTGGAGAGGTCCGTGGCGAGGCTTGGAGAGAACCAAAGAGGGCTTGGTGGCACAGTGTATCGTTCCTGGGCTCTCTCCTTGAGTCGATGGGGAGCCAGTGCAAGGTTTTTAGCGTGGCCGTAGAAGCCGTATGGCCGTGCATTGACGCCGATGACAGCTGTAGTTTGCCGAGGTGTTTTCTTGAAATGCGAGTAAGGTCGGCGTTGCACTAATGAAGACGAAAGCTGACAAGTGCTGTGAGCCGGAGAGTTTCTGCAGTGGCCGGAGCGAACATTGGGCCGACGTGCCACGAGGCACATCGAGTCGGTCCCTGTGTCGAACCACGTTCCCGAATGTTAGACGGTCGATCGGTTCGCCCGGTGGGTGGGGGGGGGGGGCATTCGCTACAGCCGTAGCGTTTGGGGTCGTTCACGCCTGGGATCTTTCCCAGAACGCTCTTGCCAACTGCTTCGATGTTGAAAAGAGGGTTCTGTGCTTTGTATTTTTTACAAGTTTTTTTTTTGCCATCCCTTGTAGAAAGAGGACGTTCACGATGCAGATATTATTGTTGTTGGCACGGGGTGGTTCTCACGGGACCTGGGTTTTTTTTCTCTTTCCGTGAATCGCGGCCGTTTACTTTGTTTTGTTTCCCCGTTGGCCTCCCACGCATCGCGTCTGGTGCCGATCTAAACCCACGATGCTCCACCCACGATGCTCAACCCACGATGCTCCACCCACGATGCTCCACCCACGATGCTCCACCCAAAGATGCTCCACCCACGATGCTCCACCCACGATGCTCCACCCACGATGCTCCACCCAAAGATGCTCCACCCACGATGCTCCACCCACGATGCTCCACTCACGATGCTACACCCACGATGATCAACCAACGATGTTCCACCCACGATGTTCAACCCAAAAATGCTCCACCCACGATGCTCCACCCACGATGCTCCACTCACGATGCTACACCCACGATGCTCCACCCACGATGCTCCACCCACACACTGGCACATGCAGCAGCCACAATGCAATTCGGATGAGAATCAAAAAGTGTATTTTTACCGGGGGAATCCGATGAGCCATCAAGTTATTTTTCACAGACAGCCAGTAAATTGTCAAGAGTGACCGGGAGAAGACGGCCTCTTTTGGCTGCCACGGTCACCCAGCGCACGCCGCCGTAGGCGTCATGGTGCTCTCACGCTTGGACGTGCGGTGGGGGGTGACGAGCGGTGGGTAGTCGCACATCTTCCAGTGTGGAAGAGTATGCCATGTAGTAGAGTGGCGGCTGTCGAGCTGAGGCGTCCCATCCCATCCAGCAGTGGCACGAGCAAGGCGTCTGCAGGGCTGCGCATTCACCTTTTCTCTGCGCATGGTCAACGGGGAGTCTCTAGGCCGGCGACCGACCGACTCCTTTAGTTGGTGCGTGCTCGGGCTGTGTGTGTGTGTCACGTGGTGTGCCTCGAGATCGCTCTCTCTCTCTGCTCCCACGGTCCCTGTGGAGTCTAACCTCCCCCCCCCCATGCGCCCCCATCCCTGAGCGGGGGTTGTGGGGGGGGCATACCGGGGGGGGGGTGCAGGGGGGGGGGCGTTGTCACGCTGACTGGACGAACCGACCGACCGATCCCGCTTTGGAGCTAATCGCTAACAGCTGCGCCGCTTAATGATCGGTCCCCTCCCCCGTGGCACGCGGCAGGTAACTCGCATTCACAACAACAGCAGCGGGTGATGATGATGATGGTGATTATGATAACAATGCCCATTTGTTAACCCCCTCTAAGAGCCTCGCTGTGAGTTTCAAGGTTGAATTTTTTAGGGAGGGTCGTTCCTTGTTAAGATGTTCAGCAAATTCCGCGTTTAAAGAGGGCTTTGCTTCGTGTTTTTGGGTGGAAACACCGGGAGGGAAACCCATCAGACGGATTGGGAGCGTGACGCTCAAAGCCAACTAAACTATGTTTTTATTTTAGCAGGTAAGGCCCGCTTGGAGCTATGTAGTATCTCTTCTTCAGAAGCGACTTGCCTATCCCAAATGATAGCTCAACGAAGTGGCTGTGTGGAAATGTAGAGCTGCCAAATACTCCGAACGCGTGATGATGTTGCTTCTAAACGTGGAGGGGAAAAACCCGGAGGGCCCGGAGAAAAACCCACGCGACCACGGGGATCGAGACACCGCATCCTCCACATGTACAGATGGATTCAAGAATCCACTGTTGTGCTTTTGTAGCCGGATCTCCCTTGGAAAATGTGACAGAGTTACGGCTCACGCAAGCCTACGACAAACACCTGGTCATTCCCAGGCATCCGTCACATCCAATTGGTGATCATGCCCGAAGATACTTCGATATGCCGAGGTCTTGATGTGGTCGCTCACGTTCTGGGTAATTCGGTGACAGCTCTGGATGAGTTAATGAAATATTTTTGCATCTATTTAAAAAATGAAGATCCCTCGAAATGTCAGATCCGTAATTAAATCAGCCATATGTCGCGTATGCTGTACATGTACATGTGCGGAATTGTGCAATATAAAAACACGTGTGGCTGACTCGCTACAAATCCCAACGTGCCATCTGTCCGCACCCTAATTACGCACGAGACGCTATGCAGCTCAAATACAATGAGGTCGGCCCTGCAGCAACACACACACAAACATTAAAACCACTTACAGATGTGTTCGCGGGCACGCTATGCACCAGGGAGAAGATGCCATAGAATCCTAAAAAACATATTGAGCAATGGATTGATGGTCCTTTGACAATCCACTGCTGGATGAAATCCTTCCCCACGCCATGTCAGTCATGGGGTGGGGGAGTTGTTTGACCATGTATGTGCTCACACACACGCGCACACACACACGCACACACACACACGCACACGCCGAGCAAAGCGCTGCACCTTTCGAAGGGAGTCGAATCCTGACAAGCCTTGGCTGAGAGAAAGAGAGAAAGAGAAAAAATGGCACACTCACGCCCCCAATCAGTCGTATCCACGTTATGTCTACGTGCAGACAGTGTATGCGGAAAAGTTGCGTGCAGGACTGATCTGGTACGATTGTAATCGTCCAATATAATCGAACGAGCAGATATGGAATTTAAATAAACTTCTACTTTACACGTCGAAAGACAAAACGTGGGTAAGGCGCCATTTTTTTAATTTTGTTCTACAATTAAACATCGATGAATCGACCGAACGTCCGATCGACCTACGTATATAGAACTTCTTTCACGCCGTACGTCGCCAAGTGTGGAGGGGGAAGGAGAACGAACTAAACACACTCGCGCGTCTTGCGTCTTGTTCGCTGGACGTCGTCAATCGGGGCACGTGGCAGCGCCAGCAACGCGCTGGGTCCTCATCCTCCTCCTCCTCGGGGGTTTCTTGGCAATGAGCTGGAATTTGTAACTCCACTCCACCACTCCCCACCACCACCACCCCCCACTGGCCAAGATCGCGTTTTTCTATTTTGCCAAAACCTAAATTGGAAATGGCTCCTCTTTCAAGCTCTTCCCGAGGCCGTGTGCGTGCGCGTGTGTACGACGCGCCTAAGGGGTGGGGGGGGGGAGTGTGGTGATGGTGGTGGCGGTGAGGATGATGGTGAAGGATGATGATGAGCGATGATGTTCGTCTCTCTTCAGTGCGAGAGAGTTGAGGGGACCTGCAGCAGCAGTGGCGATGGTGGTGGAGGAGTGGGGAGCGGTGGTGCAGCGGTTAGCGTGGCTGCGCTCCGAACCCGGCGACCCGAGTTCGATTTCCGCTCACGGCCAACAACATCGGTGGCTTTTATCGGAACCCGGTCCTGGCCCTACCCCTACGTCGACTCAGCCTCAAATGAGTACCTGGTGCGGTGTGTTAAAATCATCGGCACTGGGAAGAGAAAGGCGGTCGGGCGTGGTGCTGGTCACCTACTCCCTCATAGATGCGAGCTAACAGCACTTGCCCCAACAGTCTGGGAAGGCTATAGGGGGAATCTTTGTCTTTGGAGCAGGAGGAGGCCAGCGAAGCGTAACAGTAACGTGCACGGCCGTACAACGTCGTCTATATCCGGACTCGCTGGAGACTGTGGGCGGATACGTGAAAAGGTCGGATATACGAACATTCTTTAGCAAATGTTAGTTACACCACCACCGTCGCCGCCACGCACGGACGCGTCGGTGACTGGATTTCAAATAGAGCGAGAAGTGTTTTAAATGTTCCCCTGGCATTGCTTCGCAAGCGAGCGAATGTCCACGCGGGAACAGAGGACGCAACATTGCCGGGTGCGGAACGCGCCCTTGACTTGCGAGACGGAAGATCACAGCCACGGCGCGGACACAGATGCCCAGTCAGGGCGGATACGTGGCGGTCAGTGGGTCACGTCCTCGTTCAACGCGGTAGATGCGTTCCCGAAAAGTGTCGAGACACGATTTACGCCCACAGAGTAAGTTGGCCGGGAGGTACGCCCCAGCGTCACTGTGTCACTCCGCGCTCACTGTAAACGCTGTGCCGCTCAGCCACGCAGCTCAAGAAAGCAGTCCGTCCTCGACCGCCCCGAAACCGCGTTGTAGCGGTGCGCCTACCGCGTTGTGACGAGCGCGCCGTTCCGCGTTGCGCCAAAAGTTTTCCCGAAAGGAAGAACCGCCTTATAGCGAAAACGCGTTGTGTGAACACGCGTTAAGCGAGGACTTACCTACAGGTAGGGCTGGTGGATGGGGGAGGGG